AACAGGATGAAGTTCCCAACAGAAAAATGCAAGGAGGAATAATCAAAACCACAAATACAAAATGGGGGACACATGGCTGGATGACAGCTCTGTGGAAAAGGACTTGGGAATCTTCATTGACCACAGACTCAGTACAAGTCTGCAGTGTGATGCAGCTGCAAAAAAAGACAACTGTGGTTTTGGGCTGCATTAGTAGAAGCATTAGGTGCAAGACATGGGAGATGATAGTGCTATTCTACTCAGCACTGGTTAGGCCTCATTGGGAGTACTGTGTGCAGGTCTGGGCACCACATTTTAAAAAGGACATGGAGAAGCTGAAGAGGGTCCAGAGGCATGCAACAAAGATGATCAAGGGCTGGGATGGTAAATCATACAAGGAGAAGCTGAAGGAGCTAGGCATATTCAGCTTGTGAAAAAGTTGTGTAAGAGGGGACGTGATAGCCTTCAAATACTGGAAGGGCTGCCATAAAGAGGAGGAAAAGCACCTTTTCTCTTTTGCTGCAGAGAGGAGGATAGAAACCAATGACTTGAAGTTGCAGCAAAGTAAACTTAGATTGGCTATCTGGAAAAACTTATTAACTGTGTGAATAATGAGGCAGTGGAATAGACCGCTTAGGGAAGTTGTGGACTTTCCATTATTGAACGTGTTCAAGAAGAGGTTGGACAGCCACTGGTCAGGAATGATCTGTAAGGAAGGTTGGAGAGCCACTGGTCAGGAACAGTACCTGTGCCTGTTTTCTGCCATAGGTATTTTCCATGTTTCTGAGCTTTGCTGGTTGCTTTCCCATCCACCCTCCTTTTTTCTGTTGTGTCAGGGTATTTAAGCCTCCTCAGCGGCATTGTGTGTTGGCTACAGCTAAGGCTGGGAACTTCAACGGTGGTGTGTGCTGATTCTTCTACTAAGAGCAAACCTGGAGGCTCCTGGCTCCACTCAGGGTCCAACTGCTCGCCATACTTGGGGTCAGGAAGGAATTTTACTGCACAGTCAGATTGGTATGGACTATGGGGGCTTTTGCCTTCCTCTGTAGCCAGGGGTGGGGGGCCTCTGCCCAGACCTCTTGAGCCTATATTGACAATATTTTGTGGGAGCAGGACGTTGACAGCTGTGGTTCCCCTGCTTTGCCTGTGGAAGATTAGGGTGTTAGGTTTATGCTGTGTCAGGGTTGAGAGCAGTCTAATGTAAAGTTTAGATTATGGTTTGTATGGGATGATTTGGATAGGAATGATCCTGCATCAGGGAGCTGGTTGGACTAGATGACCTCTGGAGGTCCTTTCCAGCCCTACTTCTCTATGACTGTATGACTCTATATGTGGGAATAGATCACTAAACACCTATGATTTCACCTTGTCCTTCAGATTCCTCTTTAAAATTCTCCTTGTGGTGATACTTACAACACTTTCACAGTGTTGGGAACAAGGCAGGGTGTAGATGTACCTTACACACTAACTGAATCAGGGATGGTAGCATCTCATGAAGTCATCTTTTGCTCATGAAAGCTTATGCATCTCTGATTTAGTCAGAGGTTAGGTATAAGGCAAGGGTAAAGATGGACTGTTTAGACTATCATAGCTAACAGTGTTGTGACAGTTGAAGTGCTGTGACCATTGCTTATTATATAAGTTGGTAGGGCAAATAATATCGGTATTATCTTATGCTTTGCTTGCCCCTTGTCTGTGTGTGGTGGTGGTTTTACATTTGGTTGTCCCTCTTCCAACCCATATTTAGAGAAAGGGTTTTCTTTCTTTCGTTGATGTTCATAGAGTATTAGTACTTCACCAGTAGTACAGTCATAGAATCATCACAGAAAATTAGGGTTGAATTTGCCTCAGGAGCATGCTGCCTTAGTCAGGGGGGCACGTGCCCCCCCTGCAACCAGTCCTGCTGACCGGGGGAGTCCCCCCACGGCTGATCCTGGGGACTGGGGTGGGTATCCCCCGGGCAATCCCCTGCCAGCAGATTGCTGCACTTGCTGCAGCCGCTTCTGGGAGCAAGCACTGGCCAATCACTGCAGCTGCTCCCGAAAGTGGCTGCAGCGATCGGCCATCGCTTGCAGGGGGGGCACTGTTGTTCTCGCCTGCCCCCTCTGCCCTGCCCATTGCCTAAGCAGTGAGCACGGCTGTCAGGGGGTACACATGTATCCTCATGCACCCCCTATGCATTGCCACTGCTCAGGAGGTCTAGTCCAACTGCTTGCTCAAAGCAGGACCATCCCCAACTAGATCATCCCAGCTAAGGCTTCATCTGGCTTGGTCTTCAGAGCCCCCAGGGGTAGAGATTCCATAACCTCTTTGGATAACCTGTTCCAGTGCTTTACTGTCCTCCTGGTGAGAGAGTATGTCTTAATATCTAACCTAAACTTCCCTTGCTTCAACTTGAGAACATTGGTCCTTGTTCTTTTACCTGCTACTACTGAGAACCATCTGGCTTGAGGGTGGGCAATTATTTCAGCTGGAGGGCTTTTTACAGAGTTATGGTGAGCTGTTGAGGGCCTCAAGGGTAGCCCTGCCCCCTGGTTGCCATTTTGGGATTGGAAGTCCTGTCCCTTAACCTCCCTGACTTTTGCTACCAGACGCCTCTCCTTTTCCCTGCTGAAAGCCCTCCTTTTGGGAGGGGAGGGTTGCCATCTTGGAACCAGAAAAAAAGGGAAATTATATGCTAAAAGGCAAACATGTGCTATAACTTATTTTCATTTTATTACAAAAAATATTTTTGTCATGATTTGTTTGCATACTGTATATAAAGGTAATTGCATAATATCTAAAATGTCTTACGTTTGCATACTGTGTGTGGGGTGTGCTTGGGGGATGTGTGTGTGGTGAGGTTGGTGAGGGGGTGTGGCTGTGTGTGTGCAGGAGCAATAGGGTATGTTGGGGGTGTGTGTATATGTGGGGGCTTGTGGGAGCAAGTGTTTGGGAGGTGTGATGTTTGTGGGGTGTGTGTGGGATGTGGGGACCCCCCACCTACTCCCTCCCCATGGCGCGTAGCCCCTGCCAGCAGTGGCAGGAGCAGCACTAGGCAGCAGATAGAAGGTGCTTGGGGCACTTGTGGCCCACGCAGGTGCTGCCGCCCAGCAGTGCATGGCCCCAAATAGCACTGCACAGGGTGACAAGGAGTGCAGCCAGGCCAGCCTGCCTCTATGATGTGGGGCTCCCTGCAGTACACGTGCAGCTTCTGGCACTTGCACACCAGTAGGGGAAGCCACACATGATGAAGCCAACTTCCTTTGCTGCTCCCTCCTATGCAGGTCTTGGGACTCTACCAGGAAGCAGAGGGCAGGGACTGGTTTCCCCACTATTTCTGGCGCAGTCCCGAGACCTGCACAGCAGGAAGTGGAGAAGGCAGCTGGCTCCATTGTGCGGGGTTTCCTCCACTGGCATGCAAGTACTGGGAGCTGCATGTGCACTGCAGGGAGCCCTGAGTGATAGAGGTGGGCTGGCCAGGTTGTGCTCTTTGCCACCACGTGCAGTGCTGGCTGGAGCTGTGCACCACTGGGCGGGAGTGCCTGCATGGGCCATGAACACCTGCTGTGTGCTGCGGCTGCTGCCATTGTTGGTGGGGGCTTGTGTGCTGGGGGAGGATGAGGGGGATCCCTGCACCCCCCACACACTCCCTCACAGCCGCATCCTGCCCAGCCGAGCTCCTCATTCCTGCTGTCCCCTGGACATGGGCTCCACGCTGCCGCCAGCCCCAGCTTGACGCTTTGTGCTGCCACCCAGCTGCAGGTCCCTCTCCCCCACCCCTGTCGCTTCCCTACCTGGTGCCTGGAGCAAGCTGGATGCCATGGAAGCTGAGCAGGTCCCCTAGTGGCTGCAGCAGTGGCAGCAGCAACTCTGCCCAGAAGCTATGTGCTGGCTGGGCTGGGCTCTTCTACCAACAAGGTTAGGAGCTAGGTGCACGGGCTGGGTGGTGTACAGTTAGTTGGTGGGTGCCCATGGGCCAGATGAAATTGACAGGTGAGCTGAATCCAGCCCACAAGCAGTATTTTGCCTGCCCCTGGTCTAGCTCCATCCTCTTTGGAACCACCCTTCAGGTAGTTGAAGGCTGCTGTTAAATCCCCCCCCAGTCTCCTCTTCTCCAGACTAAAAGTCCAATTCCCTTAGTAGTCATGTGCCTCAGCCCCCAAACCATTTCTATTGCCCTCTTCTGGACTCTCCAACTTGTTTACATTCTTTCTGTAGTGGGGGCACTAGCATATAATATTGTACAATATAATAATAACAGTACAATCCAGTATAACAGCTTATCTTTGTAAATTAAACTTTATCGTTTCATAGTTGGTAGGGATGGAAGGGACCTAAGCAGATCATTTAGTTCAACCCCCCACCATGGGCAGGAAAGGATGCTGGAGTCAAATGACCCCAGCTAGGTGGCTTTCTAGCCTCCTTTTGAAGAACCCCAGGGTAGGGGCGAGCACCACTTTCCTTGGAAGTTAGTCCCAGCTGCTAGCTGCCCTGACAGTGAAGTAGTGCCTCCTGATATCTAGCCTGAATCTACTCTGTCAACTTATGGCTGTTGTTCTTTGTTACCCATTGTAGTGCTCGGGGGACATAGACTCTCCCATTGCCTGCTGGTCCCCCTTGGCCAGGTTTGTAGACGGCCACCAGATCCCCTCTCATCCTTCTCTTGTGGAGGCTGAACAGGTTCAGGTCTCGTAGCCTCTCCTCATAGATCCTCTGCCCTGCTGCCCCCTAATAATGCGAGTGGCCCTCCTCTGGACCCTCTTGATGCTGTCCACATCCCTCCTGAAGTCCGGCACCCTGAACTGGATGTAGTACTTCAACTGTGGCCTGACCAAGGTCGCATAGAGGGGGAGGATCACCTTGGACCTGCTCGTGTTGCATCTATGTATGCATGACAAAGTGTGGTTAGCCTTCCTGACTGCATCCCCACATTGGTGGCCCATGTTCATCTTGGAATCAGTAGTGATACAAATATATGCTCTTATAAACTAACTCCTAAAAGGTCACATTCACTTATTTCTTTTTTTTTGTTTCAATAGCAACTTTTTAACTGTCAGTGTCTGCACAAGCTGAGTTTGCCAGACAATGATCTAACCACTTTGCCAGCATCCATTGCAAATCTCATTAATCTCAGGGAACTGGATGTCAGCAAGAATGGTAAGTTATTCTACTTATTACTTTGAACTAAAAGGCAAGCTACTATGAATGTATAGAGTTACAGATTAAATTATCATTATCAGAAAACAGCTGTTTGTTTTAAGATTTAGATCACTAACCTAAGTGTGTATCAAATCTGCTTAATGAAAAAATATAATTTTAGAATACATGGGGTATTGATTTTTATACCTGGCCAAGTGGTTAATTTATCTCTTTGCAGTTTGGTACAGAAAAAGTAATATGGTAGAATGAAATCCTACTCTACAAAAAAACTTAATCACATGCTCAGATTTACTGATAACAATGGATATGTAAAGAGGTGTATGAGGCTTTCATTTTAACCCTGTAAGTAAAAAAAAAAAAAGTTGAGCTGTGTCCCATGTACATAATTTGTAAGATTAGGACATTAGGTACAGGCATAAATACCAGCAGAGCAGACCTGAGCAGGGTGTAGGGCCTGGGGCAAATCAGCCTGTGTGGGGGCTGGGGCCCTGCCCCTGTCCCAATCCCATGCAAAGAACCTCCACCACTATTGGTGGCAGTGGGGGGTGGGAGCAAGCGGCTGGATGCGAAACCGGTAGTGGCAGCACGGAGTTGTTGCGGCCGCTCCATCCACCTGTGCGGGGCTCCCCAAAGTGTGGAGCCCAGGGCAGTTGCCCCAATTTCTCCCTCCTCCTCCCCCCAAGGAATGGCCCTGACTACCAGGGTCTGAGCCAGAGATGGTGGCTACTGTGTTTGTGCCACTGAAGTGGTTGCCCAGGGCTGGTGCACTGGTTTCCTAACTATTCAGCATGTGTGTGTGGAGTTCCTTATCTTAAATTAGAGAAAAGCAGTGTAAGCAGCTACAATGTGTATGTCCCCCTCCCCATCTCTCCACCCTCCCTCCACCACCTGGCCTGCAGCCTCTGGGGTCAGGGGGATGCCAGGTACTAGAGGGTTCAGGCATGGGGGAGCAGGCAGCAGAGAGTATAAATGCTGTTGGGGGTAGGCATGGGGCATGCATGCACTCGGCAGGGGGTGGGAAGAACAGGTGGTAAGAGGCAGGGGTTAGGCCACTTGACTCCCTGCCGCTGGTCCCCAGCTTCCCCTCACACCCTCCCGCCACATGCTGCCCTGCCATTGCTTGCTCCGTGGCCGTGGTGGGGGAGGGCATATTTTAGGATGACTGTCCTAAAATTAGATTCTGTACATGGAAATTTATAACTAATTTATAATTTCTCTATGTTTATTATCTAATTATTGGGAGACTTGGGGTGTGTCTTAAATTGGAAGTCATCTTGGATTTGGGTAAATATAGTATATCTGTTTACAAAACCTGTTCAGATCATAGGGGGATGGTCAGGTGACTGGCTCTTGGGTAGCTGCATGGAGTAGGTGCTATTCCCTACACTGGGTGGTGGTAAGCTAGTTTGTCTTGAGCAAACAGCTGCCATGTGGTAAGATGTGGACATAAAATGCCTACAGTGATGTAATTTTATCCCTGACTTCCAGGACTAATTCCGCATTGCACTTGAGTGAGTTATGAAGGACAGCATTGCGCTGTCTGCTCCTCTTCCCCCCCCCCCTTTTTTTTCCACTCATGTAAACATGTTTGGTGACTTCTTGAGACACTGGACCCAATTTTTTTTGTTGGCTTACATTTATTGTTGTTGCCTTTATTGTATATTGTTTCAGCTATGGCTTTCTTTTCCTGAACTTCAATATAAATAGTTTCTTTTATCTAGTGCATTTAATCTTACAGTATGAAATAACTCATTCCAAATGAAAATTGGACATTTGCTGCTGCTTTGCATTTGACTCTTATTTGCCTGTGTTTTGTTATAAAATATATTAGTTTTTTAGCGGTGCTTTTTGGCAAATTGGTAGTTCTATGCAACTATGAGTGTATTCAAGCATGGTGGGCCCAATCAGAACAATTGAGGAACAATGTTTAGTGTTTTGGTAGGGGCTAAGATGCAACATTCCCTATTTAAGTTTTATTACTGCTTTCATTCACATGAATGCAGGGGGACTTATTGCAGACTAAAAGAGTTTGCTGTAATAAGCTTCTGATACAGCCTACAGTTTAAAAATCAAAACAAAACAAATAAACAGGGAGATGGAGACTGCTAAAATCTTGAAGGTTTTCTGTGCTTTGATTAATAGTTTTATTTACAAACTCCTAACAGCACATTCAAAGGCAAAGCCTTGCCATATAGTCAAGAGAATTGCCATGCACATGCTGTTCTGAGAAGAGAATTGTTCCTGGAAAAATGTTCAACTCTGAGGCCTCTTAGTATTGTTGAGTAGACTATTCTTTCTACTGTTTCCTGGATTCTGCTGTCAAAAGCACAATTTCCAGAATCCTTTTTATCTATTGTGCAAGTTCCCTGCATTCAGATGTTAACCTTTTCAGGAGTGGATAGAGAGAAAGCTTATGAGGTATTTAAAGTATCTCCTAAAGAAGAGGTCTAAATTGGAGTTTGAACAAAAAAAATGAACAGTGGTCCTGATAAGCTGTTGATACAGAGATAGGTTGTTGTAGTTAAAAGCTGTGGCAGTTGTAGACCTCTTGGTCAATACATGGTGTCCTTTCTTTGCATATTTCTCTAATGCAAAAGTCCAAAGTTCTAAGAAAAGAAGATATCTACATTTCAGTTAAATCACATTAAATAATATTCTATATACTTTAGCTAGTTATTTTGCAACACTCTGATTTGCATTCAGTATATTACTTTCATTAAGATGAAATGCTTAAATCCAGCATTGATACAAAAAAATTAGAAAAGATTCTTCTTTCTAAAAAAAAAAAAATCCAGCTGCTGAGATGTTGCATTATCCTTCATTGTCCATTATGACCAGCTTAATACTATGTGTATATGTTTTTTAAAAATGAATATGGCATTTATAAATGTAGAATAACTTGATTGTTGTTTCTGTGCTCCTGGTAGAAATATATAATAGTATTTTCTAAATGAGACTGTAAACACTTTCACTATGACAAAATGATTAAGTTAGTTAAAAGAAGTGTTTTTCTGTCATAGACTGTACTGTTGAAAGGATTACTTATTTCTAACATAGAAGTTGTTATTAAGTGGAATTTGAAAGGAGCAAAAGCTTTTTTTTGTTTGGGTGCTGGCAAATTACTTGCATACAAGTAGACAACTGATAAGTTACCAGTAGTAGAGTTATCCATCCAAAATAATGCAACCTTTAGTCAAAAAAAAATCTACTCAAAGAATATTTCTTTCTTAAAGGCAGATAAAGTATTTTAAGGAGGCAGTAGCTGTATAATTTGGTTTGTGAGTAAACTATGAAGCAGCTTTATTTTTGAATTTTACAGTGTCCCCCCGGAAAAATTTGTAACCATGTTGTAGGTGGCTTTCTATCATAAGCCTGATTTATTTTTTCAGTCATTTGCCAGAACCTGAAATCTTCAGGTCCCATCCCTACCCAAATCATCCTACAATTTTAAAAATTGCTTTTTATCTTAGGATACGCCTCCTCCCACTTCTCCAGGAGTTTGTATTGACTTATCCTGGCTTATGAGGTAATAGGTACTGGAGTTTATTCCAGTGTCTGATAAATTTGAAGCTGTTTTTAATACTTTTTAAAGAAATGGAGTGAATCATTTTCACTTTTCATCTTCTTTATCCACAGCTATGGAAATGGGACAATTCTGTTCTTCCCTTTTTTTATCCCAGAGCTTCCTTTGGATGAACTGCAGTCCATTTCTGTACCCCTCTCTCAGGTTAGGAGTGAATCTGGCTCAGCTTCCCATTCCTTTTAGTTTTTCTACCTGTGTAAGTTCACAAATGTGAGTCTGTAGCCAGTTTTACAGACTTGGATAAAACTAGGTGATTAATCTCTGCAAAAGAATTTCTGGATTAACTGATGACTTAGCTACTTAATTAACAAGTATGTATCCTGTATTTTAATTTGCACATTCAAAATGTTGTTGTTGGGGACTTTAGAGAGTGGATAGCATTGCCTGTAAGAAGTTTTGACAGGCGGGATGAATTTGTGAAGCTGAGGATATATGTACCTTGGAAGGTCTTAAGCTGGAGATATTGGAAAGAGTTCTGGCAGCTGAACATCAGAAAAGTTGAACTGTTGAATACTGAGAGAGAGGACCCTCACAGGACCTTTTATTGAAGTGTTGGGATGCAGACAGATGCAACATTTGAAATGTTTCTAAATATAACAAGCTTGGAAATCTTTCAACAACGTAGTGTTTCAGCTGCCAGACTTGCATACATCCTTTGTTGTCATGCCCTTCGCTGGAACACTTTAAAATCACCACCACAGCAGCATGGGAGTGCTACAGGTAGGCTTCAGTGACCTGTAGCTCCACTGCACCCTCACCCCTTGACAGGAGCAGAACAGTCTGTCTGTAGTCCCTGAGTGCCTAGGCGTGTGATGTCTGCAGTGCCCTGTGCATCTGTCTAGCTGCTGGCTTCTGGTCCCGTCTGGCAGGCTGTCAGGCAACCTGTCTGCTTGCTCACCCAGTTCTCCCTTCCTCTTCAGTGAAAGGGCAGGGGGGAGGGCAGAACACTGGGATTCTAGAGGATCCATGCTACCCCCCATGTCTCCGTACCCATACAGATGCAATGAGAAGTGAAGCACTTCAAAGTAGTACCTTGTATTTTAAGCAATTAATCACGGATGGTTTTTTGGGTAGTTTCCTTCCTTTGAACAGAAAAGGTCCTAGGAAGCATCACCAGCATCTCAGCCCCCATTTTTTTCTCTGGTCCATGTGATGGTAGCTTCTACTTTTCCTCTTCTTTGGGGAGAAATGCAAGTAGAAGGACAACATCAAAGGGCTGGAGAAATTTCCTGTGCAGCCACTCCGATAGCAGCTTTTGTGACAGCAGACTGTCAAAGAGCAGACCAAAGAGAGTCTGCTGGAAGGACTTCTGATTTAACTCCTTTTTCTATTACATATGCTGAAACTTTACTCTTACCTAGATCCTAATTGACAGGTTTCATCTGTCAGCAAGGGAAGAGCATGAAAGGAAGTA